GTTAGGGCAAGAGAGTAACTTGCAGAAACCCACAGCTGACACGTGGTTAGATGGTTGAGCTGAGATGAAAACCACACCACAATCCGTGCACCTACCACTGTGTTCTACTTAGGAAAGGTATTGGGTGAGAGGAGAGCAGCTTCAGGTCAAATAACTGAGAATACAAGAAGGAAAAGGTAAGGGATGCGATGCACTCTTGCCTAAGTCCGAATTTCCAGGCCAAAAGCAATTGTCAAGGAAATGTGAGTCTGAGCCACAGAAATCAGTAAATAGGGGAAGAAAAAGATTTTTCTAAGGGAAAAGTAGGAATTGACATTTGTTTGAGGGGGAGATTAGGGAGTTTGGAAGTGGTAAAACAAGAGTTCATGAGCATGAAGGAATGAGATTGTCAGAAAATAACCTGGAAAGACTCTTGGTGAAGGGAAGGGAGGCTCCTCAGTGAGGAGATAGATGTGTGAAGCTGGGGAGGGAGGTTTGGGTGGTATTCCTCTCCTGTTTCTATTGTCTATATCTCCTTCAGCATTTCCTCAGACACTCCCTTCTTCCTCTGGAGGCTAGCGTCTCCTTTGCTCTTGCCTTTTTTTTTTTTTTTAAGGACTGACCATTCAAGTCTTGGGTCTTTGTTTATACTTTATAGGTTAATTGAAAAGAGCTTTTTCTTGGCCTATGGGAATTGTTTAACTCTGAAAAATAGTCTTTTCATTAATCATCTTTTTCCACAGTTAATGTTTAATAGTTTCAAGTGAAGGTACCATGATCTACCCCAGAGATACATGCATAGGAACAGTACTGGGTGAGGGAGGAAGTGAACGGGGTAGGTCTCAGGTAGATCACCTGGGCTCATACTTTATAGATACTTTATAGATGCTTGTGTATATATAACATGGTAAATCTGAACAAGAATATTTTTAAACAATACTTTCATGAGAAATAGTATATTTGCCATGTTGTCCCAAGCTCATTATTTTCCCCCCAAAGCGTCAAGGCCCGAAGCAATTAAGAAATGTAGAGTATATTTCAAATTCAAATGTATGTAATTTAATCATCAACCTTGATAGTGCTATAACTTATTTCAGCTAAAGTGTTCAATATCTCTTTTTCACCCAACTCTCTATTTCATTATCTGAAGATTTTCTCAGTTCTGAGAAAATGATCTTGCTTTATGTGAAATCTATGGAAATGCTTAGAAAAACAGTTTGTGCAAAATCAACAAAAAAAATTTTAACTGGTTTGTTTTGAATGCATACATCAAACTATGTTTGATCTACTTCACAGAACAGAGTTGAAACTATAAAGAGGACTAGAATCAATCATTATGAAATTTGGAATATATAGGACTTCATTCAGGAAACTGGTTATCAAAATTTTAGTATTTTTAAAGGAGATATTTTCGGGAGACATGTAGAATTAGGTTATAAAAGTGCAATTTAAAATTCGTTTTCTGTGGATTCTGTATCTTGTCACTGGATACAAAGACAGCATTTTAAAAGTGGACCTCCACAATGGGGCTGGGTATAGAGCTTTATTTAAAGAGTTTTGTGTTATCACTGCCATTTATACTTTGCCCTTTCTCTGATGGAAAGAAATGGTTCTGGGGCGGCACCTGTGGCTCAGTGAGTAGGGCGCCGGCCCCATATACCAAGTGTGGTGGGTTCAAATCCAGCCCCGGCCAAACAAAAAAATAGCCAGGTGTGGTGGGTGCCTGTAATCCCAGCTACTCTGGAGGCTGAGCAGGAAAATCACCTAGCCCAAGAGCTGGAGGTTGCTGTGAACTGTGATGCCACAGCACTCTTCTGAGGGTGACAAAGTGAGACTCTGTGTCTAAAAAAAAGAAAGAAAGAAAGAAAAGAAATGGTTCTGGCACCTTATATGCCTATCAGATGCCTTTGGCCTCTCCCTGTTGGAGAGAGGTTTGAGTCTGGTTTGGAGTTGTATATACTGTGTGAAACCATGTTTGAAATAAAGCTTTCTAATATTTTCCTGCACAGAATGCCAATTAACTGCCTGCTTTTAATTGACAATTGGACATTAACCCCTCAGTAGTGCTGTCATCATAAACCATAGTCCAGACCCTATAGTCCACCACTGAAAGACAAGACAATTATGCAATATTTGACTAGACTGCAAACACATCTAATTTGGAGAAGAATAGTACCCCATATACCTTAATGGAAAGAATGACTGGATCTTTGGCAAAGTTTGATTGCTAAAAGAACATAATAACCAGCTCAGCTTACACTCAGAATGTGTTTCCAACAGAGAACGATATATACTTGGTAGAAACAGAAAATTATAATAAAATAGAATTCTTCTGTTGGCAGAGCGTATATATTTATACATTCTTCTGTGTTTAGTTCAGTGGTTAGAGAACACTTCCTGGAAAGACCACAGTACACAAATGTTTTCAATTTGAATTTGTTCATGTCATCTCTAATCGGTCCCCGAGACAAGGTTCACTGCCCTGGAGGAGGCTTGGCTCGGTCTTGAAAACACACACTAATAAATTTCAGGTTTGGGACAGAAAAGGAGGCTGCTCCATGTTGGACAGTCATGTGAACTTGGAGTTGTTTTCCATGTTTGTCTTAAACAGCTCTGTAATGTCACTCTGGATAGTGTTTCTAGACACAGAGCCAGTTACCCCTGCTCAGGGTACTCAGTGCTTGCCTGTGTTTAAAACTTAGATTTGGCAGATCCCTTCATTCTTGTAACAGGAACTTTATGGGAGAAAATAGGGCAAAGATCATCTGAGTGCAATTGAATGTGTTGAAGGATACATAAAAATAACCTCTAAATACCCTGTAAAGATGGGTTGGACTAAGTATGTTTATTTTGTTTCTCCTTTCAGCTGTTTGAAGTGAGAAAAAATTCAAAGGAAAATCATCTTCCATGCCCTTTTGCGATGTGTCTAGCAGTAATTTAGGGACTTAATTTCATCTGCTCCTGCTACCACCTCACCCAAAAAGTTGTGGAAGCAAGGTAGCTGAGTATGAAAACTTGCTTTATATAGATGAGAAAGGAGCAAACTAATGAAGTCCCCTGACCAGGACTGCAAAACTTTCTGAGCTGCCCGTCACCTCCACCCCTCACACCTTTGGCAGTGCTTACAAAGTCTTGGTTCTGATTAGCTTAGAAGCTGGATTCAGTTACTCAGTTTTGTACATCTCACCTGTATGCTCAGAGTAAGTCACAATTCACGTTGGACGGGTAGGGAAAAAAAAGTGTTGATTTCACAAATTGCTTCATGTGTGGAAGATCATCCATGAACTGTGAATTTTTCATGGAGTGGGAAAATTTCCATTTCCCTGAGATGATGCATTTGTCACAGTTTTGCAGTCCACTGTCTGTGAGGCTGGCACAGCCTGTGCAAGCCCCCTGTCCGGGGCTCAAGTTTCCTCCTCCCTAATTTAAGCAGGGTGAGCCAGGCCTCTCTAGCTTTTACTGTCTGAAATTCAGTTTCTTCTGCACATAAGAGGTTGGGATATCAATTGTACTGATCAACTGGTGACTGTGGGTTGTCCAGCTGATAAACTCAGCAGACCAATGTGAATTCACAGCAGCACTCAAATCCTGGAGAAAGTTTGCGTTGAGCCTGTTGAAATGATCAGCAGAAATCTTGGGTGAGGAAGTGCTCATAAGTGCCCCATCAGTGCTGGATGCATGGTGGAGGGGTGGAGTCCTGCTTGAGGTCTGAGTGGCAGCAAGAGGTGGTCCCCATGAGTCTGGTGTCAGAAGCTCTTTGTTCCTCCATGCACCTGACAGTCTCTACCCATCCAGATGTCCCAGTCTCATGGCCTTTAGCAAATTACCTTACAATTCTAAAACTTCTGTTTGGTTACATAAAAAATGAGGATAATAACTGCTTTTTTCAGAGTGAACAGCTTAAAGATAATGTATGTGAAAGTGTCTAACAAATAGATGGAGCTTGCTAAATAGGTAACTAAAATCAAAATAGCAGTTTATAAAAACCCCAAATAAAGTATCTTATCTTAAAGCCAAGGAGGAGAAAACTACCATTTGTGAAGTAAGCAATGTTCTATCACTTTAGGACATATTCTCTTTTAATCATTATGTGCTTATTTTATAGATAAAGAGATACCAGGTAAGTTCCTAGGGTGTCCGCCATCTGGAAACAACCAAGTTGAGATTTGAGATTCAAGTTGTCTTTTTTTTTTTTTTGAGACAAGAGTCTTACTCTGCTGCCAGAGCTAGAGTGCCATGGCCTAAGCCTGGCTCACAGCAACCTCAAACTCCTAGGCCCAAGCAGTCCTTTCGTCTCAGCCTCCCGAGTAGCTGGTACTATAGGTACCTGCTATAACACCCGGCTAGTTTCTCTACTTTCAGTAGAGATAGGATCTTGCTCTTGCTCCGTCTGGTCTTGGACTCCTGAGCTCAAGCAATCATCTCACCTGTCTCTCAGAGTGCTAGGATTATAGACATGAGTGACTGTGACCAGCCGTGAAATTCAAGTTTTCTTATTCCAAATCTGTGTTCCTTTTACAACGTATTGCCAGCACACCAGTATACTTAGTTGATATATTTTCTAGCACACCAGTATACTTAGTTGATATATTTTCTAGTTAAGGTTAAATTTCTGATGATCCTGGAAAAGGAAATAAATTATCAAAACAGTAATACTAATGGGGGGGTTCCTTGTGCTTTTTTTTTTTTT